TACATAAATCTTGGTATATTATGATTATTTCTGTGTTCTTCTACTCCATACTAACAGTTTTTTTTCTTTTCTTTTTTTTTGATAAATACTTGACTTTTCACAACAACCAGTAAAGGAAGATCATTTTTTTTTTTTTCCAGTCAAATTAATTGACAAAATTAAAAAATCAAATTAGTAGTTGTTTTCTTAAATGATCACATACAATACAATCCAATCCAATCTTAAGTAGTGAAAAATAATAAAATAAAAATAACCAAAACTCAACAATAATTGAAACCTTTTTTGAATAAACAATGATCCAATAATAGTGAAGAAGAAAATAGAGAGTTGAATAAATCAAACAAAGTAAGAAAATCATAAGTAGAAACAACCTTGTTGAACCAGGGATCGTGAAGAATATCGAGACTGCGCTTGTGGACAATGGAAGGACGATGGCCTTCGGTAGTGGTGAAAGATCTTGTGATTCTGTGTTGAAAACGCTTGATCAGAGACGAAGAACATAGTCTCATTTGACGAGAAAAGCTCGACATTGAATTTCAATGGTGGATCTAACAAATATTCAGGGTTCAACTTTCAACTCAACTCTATCAGTGTAGTATCTCACTACTCTATGGGCAGGGGCAGTGGCAGTGGCAGAGGCGGAGGCAAGATTTTAATCGAGGTGGGCAACGACTATTTATTAGCTGCTCCTATTCTCAAACTCTGAACAATAATTACCACACAAAAATAAATAAATAATAAATTGATCAATAAGGTCTCGTTTGGCAACTGAAGTTTTTAGTTATAAAGTCAAAAAATTATTAAATTAGTTAAAAAGTCAATAATTCATACTAAAAAATCAAAAATTCTCTTTTTTCTCTACTTTTTGCAAATTTTTTTTGTAAAAAGTCAAAAAGTCATCCCAAACATACTAGTTTTTTTTAGCTCATATTTTAGCCAAATAGCCAAAAAGTTACTAAATTAGCTTGTTCTTAAACGAGGCCTAAGTCTCATATTTTGAATTTCTAATTTATATAATTTTTTTATTTATTTATTTAGTCTTTTGGATATGTAATGACTCATTTACCTGTCATATTAGAGTGTTATATTTGAAAAAAAGTACACGAAAGAGTTTTTTAGTGTGATATCATACTATTTACATTAGAGTGTCATATTTAAAAAAAAATATACTAAATAATTTTTAATTTTTTTAGAATGTCACATCGTACTCATCACGTTGAAGTGTCACATGCTACATTTGATAAAAATACACTAAACAACTTTTATTTATTTTTTTGAAACGTCACGTTGTCACGTTTGGAAAAAGTACAACAAGGAGTTTTTATTTTATTTTTTTGAATTGTCACATTATACTCGTTACGTTGTCACGAAAAACCAAAAAAAAAAAAAAAAAAAAAAAAAAGGGGTAGTAAAATTTATCATACATAAAAGTTAAGATTGTTTTGGGATGTAAGTTAAAAGTTAGGTAGTATTTGGTAAAATTTTAGAATTATGATTTAAGAATAGAGTTTTATTGAGTTTGTAAGTTTTAAAATTATGATTTGAATGTGGAAAATTGGTGTAGTTATGAGTTTTGAAAAGTGTTTTAAATTGAGTTTGAATTAAGTGATGTGACATATGATATTTGATACAAAAATTTACAACTTATAACTAAACACATAATCCAAAATTCCATTCAAAACTCATAAATTTTTTTAAAAATATTTCACAAATATTTTTTTTGTAATATAAAAATAACAGGTGCAATAATAAATAAATAAAAAAAACGAACACTGCTCCAGTCAACTAGTCGGACGACTGGTGGGACGTCTTGTAGGACGTTCGGTGGGACGACCGACTAGCCCAAATTTTTCCGCTTTCGAAAGAATTTTCAAAAATAAGTGTGAAATTAATTTTTAAAAATGCTAAACACCACACTCAAAAGTGAGTGTGAAATTATATTTTGAAAGTTTCACTAAACAGAAATTTTTATAATTTTTTTAAAAAATATAAAATGTTATGCGACTCAAAAGAGATTAAAAGTTTAAAAAAACAAAAACTTTTAATCACGTTCCCAAAAGAGGCTTTAATATAAAACTCTTACATAAAAATATTCATCAAAGCTAACTAATCTGATTGTAATGGGGTTTGAACAAATACAAAGATAAATGGTTTTGTTTGATTGGTTTCTTAAGGGCTAATTTCTTTTTTTTTTTTAAAAAAAAATTAAAATTTATTTGGTTTAACATTTTTGAAAAAAAAAAATTTCAAACTCACTTTTCTCCGTACTGTACATCAACTAATAATTTTGTTCTCTCTTTTTTTATTCTCTCACATCTACACGTTAATCAATCAATCAATTTTTCTTTCATACTCATTTATTCAATTACAAAATATATATATATATATATTAAATCATCCCAAATTCAAAAACTCTAATACTATTTTTAAAATATACAACCAAATAAATTTTATAATTTTATAAATTCTTTTTAGAAAATTATTTTTCAAAATTGTTTCACAAATATAAACCAAACATGGCCAATAACCTATGGGTTTGGCTTTTCTCAAATTGTCATATCAACTTGAAAGGGTGTTTGGGCTTGGTAAGCCCATTTTGGATTGATTATAGTAAACCGAACCTTTCACTTTTAGGATTAGTTGAATAAAATATTTATGCAAAAAATCAAGATGATTAGATATTAGTAACTATATATTTGAATCATATTTGTTTAAAAAAAATAGACGATAAATATAATTTCAAAAATAGCCATTCATTTTTTGTAATACAAATTTGATTCAAATATATAGTTATTAATATTCGATCATCTTAATTTTTTGTAAAAATATTATATTTAATAAGTCCTAAAAGTTAAACAACTTTGATCATCGAAATCAGTTCCAAAATGAATATACTAAACCTAAACACTCTCTTTAGTTGAGATGACAAATGTGAGAGAAGCTTAATCCCAACCTTATTTAACCCTGTCAATTACAGTGGATCAATTTATGTAATTAGTTAGGGCATGTTTGTCATGTTAATTTTTTGACTTGTTAAAAAGTTAAAACATTCAATCACACTATTTTTTTATTTTTTAAAATACTTTTTCATAAAAAAAAATTAAAAAATTAATTAAAATAGCGAATTACCAAACCACTCTATATTCAATTTTACTTTTATTACATGCATATATATATATATATAAATTTAATGGGAGTTTTTTTGGATATTATTGGAGAAATTTTTTTTTATGTTTGGAAAGATAGTTGGGTTTTTTTGTGGTTAGATGTGATGTTTGTGAGAGAAAAAGTGAAATGATTATGTGATTGGATGTGATATTTTGTTTAGATGTGTTTTTTTTTTTCAAAAAGTTTGTCTTTTTGTGAAAAAAATCAAAAAAAACCCAAGTCCCAAACTTCTCAAACACCATGGGCTTGTTTGGTTGGTTTTTCAGAAAAATTTTTGAGAAAAATTCTCTACAAACAAATTTTCAAGAGTAATCAAACGAAACAAATTTTTTCAAAAAAAATCTCAAAATTTTGCTTGGTTACCTATTTTCCAAAATCACTCTCTCTCTCATACACATCAAATCAATCACTTTTTTTAAAACTCTCTCTCCAAAACAATTTTTCAAAACCATTTCTGAAAAAAAGAAAACCAAATAAGTTTTCATACTTTTTATCTCAAAAACTACTCTACAAGCACAAACCAAATAATTTCCTCGAATGTTTTGGAGGTGAATTTGGTTTCGTTTGGAAGTATGGGTTGGGTGGGTTTAAAAGTATTTTAATTACAAAAAAAAAAATCAAATAGATTTTTTACTTTAATAAGATAAAACATTACCTCTAACTCGTAATTATTATATTTTTTTTCTCATAAAAAATTAAAAAATCTTTTTCAAACGAGACTTTTTAACCCTAAACTAAAATAATTAAAAAGTCAAAAAGTTAATCTACTTTCCAAACAAATCCTTTATTTGAGATAGGATTTATTATTTTATATTAAATAATTAAAAAATATAAAAATATATAAAAATTTGTGATTAAAAAGAGAACATAAAGGGTCAAAGTGGAAAAAATAAGCTTGAAGGGAAAAAATGGAAAAGTGGCTAAACAACAAAGGGGGCAAAGTGTAATTTACCTAAATAAATAATAAATTTATTTTTAGTTCAATCTCAAATATTACAAGAGATTTGGAGCATAAGTTTAATCTAAAAAATATAATGTCATATAAGCGGTGATATAAAATGGTGGAAGAAGTGATATATAGCGGTCCTCTTTTAATAAACATATTCTTTTGATTTGATTTTCTTTTTTTTTAATGCATATAAATAAAGTACTATAAAGCCACAAGAATATTAAAACAAAGAAAATATGATAATTGACTGAACAATAATGAAAGAGATTAATATTTTGTATTCACAAATACATCTATATTGATATAATAAAGATAGTGAATACCGTATAATTGAATGTATAATTAATTAAAAAATAATATTTATCAAATCATATCATTGTTGATTAAGGTTTAGTTTGGGAAGACTAAATAAGTGTATTTTTTTATTTTTTATGAAATATTGGTTAGGTTTAGGTTGGGTTTGAAGTGATGTGTTAGAGAGGTGATGTGACTTAAATAAGATGATGTGACTTAAATAGGATAGTGACTTTTTGACTTTTTGTCTTTTTTTAATCATGCCAAACTTGACCTAAGGTTAAAATTTTTATGTTTAAAAAGGTGGTTAGATTTTTTATAATTAAATATAATATTTGTGGAGAAAAAATAAAATAATTATGAATTTTATGTAATATTTTATCTTAATAATTATTTTAACCTATTTTACTTTTTTAAGAATTAAAAAAAAAAAAAAAAACCACCTTACCAAGCAGGGTCAATATATTAAAAAAATAAAATAAAAATACAAGTGGGTCAAAAGAAATATGCTAACTTCTCAAGAAAACAGGAATACAAGTAGTTACATCTAGACTATAGGTAGGTACACGCCTATATAAATGTGATCACAACTTAGAGAGAAACACAGAGTGCGCTCAACATAACACAACATAAATCCCAAAAATGGAGTTTCTTGGTTATCTGGTGTGCTCTATGGTTTTCTTGATACTCATCCGTGGCCTTGCATTGTTTCGTAGAAGAAGAACACTCCCACCAGGCCCCACTGGCCTCCCTCTATTCGGCAACCTCTTCGAGGTCGGTCCGAAGCCCCACGAATCACTGGCAAAGCTAGCCAAGACGTATGGCCCACTCATGACCATACGTATGGGCAGCAGAACTAGCGTGGTGGCTTCTTCGCCGGAGGTAACCAGAGAAATCCTTCAGAAAAACGACGAGGCCTGCTCTGGCAGAATCGTCCCCGACGCTGCCACCGGGCAAAAGCACCACTACCTGGCCCTGGTGTGGATCTCCACGGTCGAACAATGCCGGTTGATTCGCCGCGCGCTGAGCATATACCTGACAAACCAACAAAAACTTGACACTTTGCGAGGACTAAGACACAAAGCTGTGGGAGAGATGATTCAACATGTTAGAGAGACGAGAGATCGAAGCCTGGCGATCGGAGAGTTGGCATTCATTACTGCTCTGAATATGATGTCCAACACTTGTTTCTCTGTAAATGTGGCTGGGTTCGAGTCTGGAGAGGCACAGGGGTTCCTGAATGCAGTGAAGACAATCATGGTGGTTGATGGGAAGTTTAACATTGCAGATGTGTTTCCATGGTTGAAGCCTTTGGATCCTCAGGGATTAAGGACCAAAGCCAAGGTTGCTTATGGGTGGCTTGATGATGTCTGTGATGGGTTCATCACTCGGCGGCTCAAGCACAGAGAGTCGAATCTGCTGAGTTATGGGGATTTATTGGATTCCCTTCTTGACTACAGCCAAGAGCATCATGAGTCTGAATTCAACTGCAAAAATATCAAAGTCTTGCTTGGGGTATGCACTTTCTCGGGAAATTATTAAATATTCTTAAAGCATCATATAACCAATCATCATTTAATATGTTTAATTCATATTTTTCAATTACCCAACACAATATATCATCTACTCATCTTCTCCACCAATCATAATACTATGAGATATTACGTATCCATACTCCGAAATTATTGAATAATTACTCCTTTTTCTCTCTCAAAGTAAGTTGATTATAAGAAGTTGTTACAAAGTACATTATTCATGCAAAAACAATTATATTGATCTCACATCAGTAACTACTTAATTTGAATAAATTTGTCATTAAAAAATTAAAAAATTTATTTTTAAAATTATATTTATCATTATTTTTTTAAGATAATGCAATTTTATCAAGTGGCCATTGATACTTGATAAACCTGAACTTTTATGCAAATAGAGGGACCAATAGGTCAACCGTTCAAATTATTGAATCTGGGCCAACATCCCCTAAACTAGAGAATATAAATATCCTTATTACTAATATATATATGTATAAAGGAAATTTAATATTTGTGTCCCAAAAAAAAAACATTGGTAATATACATTTATTACTGTGAAAATCTAAGAACTTTGAGACAATTCTATTGGCTTCAATTTAATATAGTTCTTTTGAGCCTTGGTCTGTGTATCAAATCGTTTTTAACAATACTTGCTTATTTATGATCAGAATCAAATTGTTTTGTTTTGTTTTTTAAAATTGAAAAGCAAATCGTACAGTTTGTACTAAATAGATTGGCTTACTAATATTGACAAATTCTTTACCCAGGAGCTACTACTTGCAGGAACTGAAACAAGTTCAAACACAGTTGAGTGGGCAATGACTGAACTGCTACTGCATCCCAATATAATGTCGAAATTGCGTGAAGAAATTACAAAAACAATAGGACCAGAAGGAACAATAGAAGAATCCAAGATCATTGCATTGCCCTATTTACATGCTGTAGTGAAAGAAACAATGAGGCTGCACTTAGCAGTGCCTCTTCTCATACCCCACAAGACCGAGACAGACGTGAAGCTGCGCGGTTTTCTCATTCCTAAAAACACCCAAATCTTTGTGAATGCATGGGCCATTGCTCGAAACCCTAGTTATTGGGAAAACCCAACTCAATTCATGCCCGAGAGGTTTTTGAGGTCCGAAATGGACTACAAAGGCCAAAATTTCTCCTTTCTTCCTTTCGGTTCTGGGCGTCGAATGTGTCCCGGTATTCCTCTTGCTCAAAGGGTTGTGAGCCTGATGATTGCTTCGCTCGTGTATCATTTTGACTGGAAGCTTCCTGAGGGCGTGACACCGGAAAATTTGGACATGGCTGATACTTTTGGCATCACACTACAAAGGGCAACGCCGCTTCGTGCTATTCCAGTGGCTAGAAGAGACTGAACTTGACGAAATAAATCTCAACCTTCACAACAATATGCTAAAGAAGTGATAATAATGAATAATGGTGTTACACACACTAATTACTATGTTAATTAGTGTATCAACACATGATATAACAATATAATTTTAAAATTATAATTCTACTTATTATACAAATTATAATAATTCAAAGATATTAAAATTATGTCACATCATCTATTAATTCATATATATTACCTTAACAATCCCGCTACGTAGCTCGAATATGCCGTGCCTCGAGTGGCCCGAAATCCCAAAACGACGTCGTTTTGATCGTTTTGGCTTCCCCCCCCTCTTCTTCATCCTTTCGGTAACGCATAAAAAAAGAAGAAGAACGAAGAAGAAATAAGAGAAAAAAGAAGAAAAAGAAAAGAAATTCAAACCTTCAATTCAAACCTACAATTTTTGTAACTCACTGGAAGTTTCAAAAAAAAGAAATTTGAACCTTCTATCCAAAACAGAAATCTTTTCTGTAACTCACTGGAAGTTTCAAACCTCCAATTTTATTTTTTTTTTGATAGAAGTAATGGTTTTTCTCTTTTTTCTCTGGAAATTTCAAACCTCTCATGGGCTCACTCGCTGGAAGTTTCAAACCTCTCATCAACACATCATCATCATCATTTACAACCAGCACAGAGGCTTCACAGAGAGGGATACAGAGAACGAGAGACGGATACATAGAGAGAGAGATAGATACAGAGAGAGAGAGTGATACAGATCTGTGTACACAGATCTGTGTATACACAAAGGATGGCAGGCGCCCCACCGTTGTGCCATCACCGTCGCACCATCGCCTCCACGTCTTCTTTCTTCCTCTTTTTTCCTCTTTCTTTTCTTTTCTCCTCCCTCTATTCCCTATTTCAGAGAAAAGAGAGAAAAAAATCGTTTTGATATTCGGGTCACTTGAGCCACGGAAAATTCGAGCTCTGATGGATTTTCCTTACCTTAATTGTCAATAATGATTATTTCTTTTTATTTATCGACCCCGCTACGTAGCTCGAATCCGTGGCTCGACACCAAAATGACGTCGTTTTGGTGTCTTTGTTTTTTTTTTTTCTTTTTTTTTTCTTTTTCCTGTGTTTTTGTTGCAGAAGGAAGACGAAGAAGAAGGGTAGAGAAGAAGAGAAGGAGAAGAGAAGGGAGGAGGAGGAGGAGGAAGGAGGAGGAGGACTGGAGGGGACATATTCACAGGGGGAGGAGGAGGCGGAGGCAGAAGCGGGGCCGGAGGCGACGGCGGTGGTGCTGCGACGATCGCTGGTACTGCGGCGAGGCGACGACGGTGGTGATCTCCTCTCCTTCTCTCTCTTTCTCCCTCTCTCCTCCTCTTTCTCTTCTCCTCTCTTCTTCCTCTCTTCTCTCCCTCTTCCCTCTTCCTCTTTTCTCCTTTCTCTCTATCTCTGTCTTCGAATTCGAGCCATTTTTCGAGCCACAAATTCGAGCTACCAATCTTTTTCCTTTATTTATATAGCTCTCTTTCTTCTCATTATCCATACTTAAAATTTTAAATTTTCACTTTATCTCTCAACAATAGGAAATTGTTTTGTGTTTCTAGAGCATTGTCCTAACATATCCAAAAGCCACGTAATCATGTGAGACTTGGCCCTACATGTAAGGAAATAAGATCTCCTCCATACTTCATCTCTTCATATTTATTCATACTTCTCTTATGGACTTCAATTCAAACTCACTTGGATGATCCAAACTGTCTACTTCATAAACTTTACAGTAAAAGTTATTCATACAAAAAATTAAATTTATCAGACAACTATAAATACAGAAACAAATCACGTTTTATTTTACAAAATAAATTGTTTAAGTTTACAATCTTATTTAATATTCATTTTACAAAATAAAATGTGATTTGTTCTTATGTTTACAGATATCCGATCAAATTGATTTTGTGCATGAATAACCTTTATTACGGAATTTACAAAATAAAAATATTTAAATCAGTGAGTTCGAACTTAAACCCACAAAAAAAAAGTATGTATAAATATAAAAAAAATACAAATATGGAGAGGAGCTTATTCCAAATGCAAGAGCCTACACAATCGTGTGGCTCCCAATTATATTCGCACAATGTATCAAGAGGGCATAGTAATTTTTCCTGTATTGGCACCACTGAAACATTTGAATACCCTAAGCACCACTCATCACCTTCTAATTTTTTTTTTGGGAACTTACCAATAAGTCTCATATATAAAGTTCAAGACGAATCTAATCCTCAAACAAAACACTCGCACCAATTAATCCTATACATTTTTAATTGTTACCAAAAAATCATTTTTTTTTTAAATTTACAAACACTGTTACATCTTGCTACTGTCGGACTTCCGTCAAACGATCACCAGAGACTTGTCAAAATGTTCAACATCACTGAGAAGTCGCCGGAGTATCGCCGGAAGTTCACCGGAGTGTTAAGAACGTTAATGGAAGTCGCTGGAATGTTCAAAACGTTCACTGGACGTTAAGAACATCACTGAAGACTTACCGGAATGTCTAGAATATTGCTGAAAAAAAAAGAATAAATAGAGAAATTAGAGCGAAAAAACATAGCAAAATGTGCTAAATATTAATAAACTACAAATAAATAAATAAATAAATAAATAAATAAAACGACAAAAAATAACAACAATGGGAAAAACATATGCTATTTTTCAATATTTGTAAGGTTTAAGCATATAATCTCTAATATTGATCAAACTGAAAAGTAAGTTTTGAAACTGTAAAATGTAACAGTTTCAAAACAAAAATCTACTAAGCATTTATCCTTATTAATCAAACTGAAAAACATGTTATGAAACTGTAAAATTTTATAGTTCTAAAGAATGTTATGAAACTGAAAAATTTTATAGTTTTATACCATGATTCATTCCAGCACCAAAAAAATTTGAAATTGCAAAATTTTATAGTTGTCACCGCCTGTAACTAAAACTCGAAAATAACTTGTTCAGAACTTGAAAATTTTCTCCATTAGAATAGAAAAAGAGAAGTGTATAGCAGAGAAAATGTAGAAAAAAAATAAGATATCGAAGGAGAAAGTCGGATATAGAGAGATGATTGTACTCAGGCAACTATTTTTTGTTTAGATCTAGCCAAATCTGATATAGATTTACTCATATTCTTCGTCGGAAATATATATTCTTTACCGTCGGTGAGGGTGAAGTAAAAAGTCGGCGGATAGTAGTCGTTGGTCGCCGATGACTATATATCGGAAAGAGAAAGAGAAAGAAAAAAAGTAAGATATGGTTACCCATCAACGATCGCCAGAAATCACAAAGAGCAAAAGAGGTAGAGAAGAAGAGAGACAGAGAAGAAGAATAATGTTATAAAACTTTTGAGTATCAATAAAAGGTTATGAGACTAAATAAACTATACGTTTTTAAAAAAAGATTTCTTAATAATTTTCTAAAATAACAATGGCAGTTAAATGATTACCATGATCAATCGACTTACGGCCCGAATTAAAACATGTAGTGGACCTTAAAGTTGTTGAGTGGGCTCAGTGGGCCTGCAGGTACGTTAACTTCTTTGTTGGGCCCAAAACCTAACTGAACATTTCATGGTTTAAATTTTCAACACGTGGCTCTGAGTCACCACCGACAACTAAGCGATAATTTTCTTCATTACAATTTTTAAATAATCAGAAATAATATGCCCCATCAACATGAAATTAGCCATACTAACATTATAAATTTATAATTATTAACATCTTTGAATATTTTAACCATTTATACAAAATCTATCTATATTTATATCTAGATCTATATATTTTATAATGGATAAGAGGAGAGAATAAGGGAAGGATACTAAAGTCACATTAGTCAGGACCGGCCCTAAGATTGAGAGGGTTTAAGGCGAACTTTGAAAATGGGGGCTCCGTTTACATTGAAAAAAAAAATCATGAATAAATGATAAGTTATAACTTTTTTATTTATTTGTAGCTACAAAAAAATTTACTTGCACATATAATCATTAAAATTATAAACAAAACAATTTAATGAAACAAAATTAGGACAAAAAAATTAGAAAAAAATTATTTAATTAAAACTGATAAAGACCTAGGTAAAAAAATTTGGGCAAAATTATTTATTCTACTAAAATCTAATAGAAAAAGAAGGTTAAAAAAAAAAAATAGGACCCATATATTGTATGTATTTGTTTTTCTTGGGCCCAAACATTTTTTTTATATATATATTTTCATTTTAATAAATATAAACAAAAAAATTACACTTATAAATAAGTATGGGCTAAACTATACATGGACCCAATAAATATTTTAAGATCCTTTAAATTGATCTTAAAACTAAAAAAAAAAAATATTGAACCTATAATATTTTATCAAATTTAAAAATCCTATTTTAAGATCAAAATTTTAGGACTTAAGGTACAAGTCTTACTGCCTTAGGCCGGGGCCGGCCCTGCAAATAAGGGGCCGTGCAAATAAGGGGCATAGTATCAAAACTAAGACAAGTTACTTCATTGTAATATTTAGGTGGTTCTGGAGCTGGGGGTCTCCAGCATTTCCCAATTTAAAACCTTATTTTGAGGTCAAAATTTTGGGGCCTAAGGCCCAGGCCTTACTGGCCTTAGGCCAGGCCGGCCCTGACATTAGTAAAATTTGAATTTAGGCATTATAACGAGGGAGAGGCTCATTCATTAAGTTAATCTTTTCATCGAAGTCAAAATGTATATAATAAAAGTGTATATTTTGTATTAGTATTAGTCTCTAAATTGTTAAGTATTAAAAAGTCAATACTTGGTAAAAACTAATCATACATTATTACCATTTATATGTTACAAACTATTAATATTAAAAGTTGTTTTTTTTTAATATAAATTTGTAACATATAGCTAGGAATGTTTATCTTATACACTTTAAATATATAGAAAATCTAATAATTAATAAATACATAGTATTTATAGCAATAAACTGAAAAAGTAAGCAAAAAAAAAAAAAGAAAAGAACACAGACGGTGTTAATGTGAGCAGAGTTTATAAAATTTTTAGAGTTCAAATAATTTAATTTTAAATTTTGTTTGAACTTGGGTTAAAATTCACCATCCCGATCTACATTCAATTCAGTCTTGGCTAAGAATATTCACAAGATGAACTAATTCATATTTTGATAACACATAATTCCAATTAATTTTCTTATGTCTTATATTTGT